AAGGGCCCGGATGCAGAGGCTGCTGGGCGATGAAGGAGCAAGTGTCTCGATGGGACAATCCGGTCTCTTGGGTGATTATATGTGGTTAGCAAAAGCATATGCTTCTATATTTATTTTACAGATGAAAAAAGTGACGCCAGTGGTGGCCATGCCTTGTCCAAGCCCCACCCTCACCCCCCACTCCCCAAGTATACACATGTGTCTTGTGTCTTTTTAGGTCAGAACTCTTAAGCCTGCTCAAAACCTACAACTGCTACCATGAGGGCAGGAGCTTCCAGCTAAGGCACCGTGAGGTGAGACCTATAACCCTTTTTGCTCGTGGGGTCATCCTTTGGCTTGGCTCGTGTGGACTGCGGAGGTGTGCGTCTGTTGTTTCCAGGGTAGTTGGGCAACCTAGCTCCTTCACTCTCCATGTGTTCCAGGCTGGCTCTTGTCACACTCCCTGGCCAGGAACCAGGTTACCAGCAGGCAGGGTTGGGGTGTCCCTGTCCTAACAAGGACATCACCTCTACCCACATGTAGTGCTGGGCTTGTGGGTGTCAAGGCTTGGGGCCTGTCTAGCCCCTTCTTCCTCTGCCCATCACACCACTCAGTGAGAGAGCGGAGGGAATTTGGTCCCTCAGTGCTCTTCTCACACTCTACAGACGGCAGTGTGCCAGCTCCCACTGAGCCCATGCTGACACTCAGTTCAATGAGTGTGCCACACTAGTTTCACCTGACCAGCCCGACCAGGTGTCCTGGGTCTTCTCACCTGTGCTCGTTCACTGTGGCACCCTCTCCTGAGAAGTGGTGCTTGACTGATGTTGGGGTACAAACTCATATGACAAGGGGCATATGGAGGGCAGATCCTAACTTTAGGTGACAGCCACGCATCAGAACCCATGCCTACAATGTGTAAATGTGGCCCTGGTGGGGACTGATTTTTTTTTTTTCAAAAGAGACTAGATATCTGGCATTTCACGAGGGATTTATTAAACCTTGTAACACCCTGGGGGAGTGTCTAGCAGGGTCCAGGCTGGGATCTACTTGAGGGAAATCAGGCCATGCCCAGACTTCCACCATCCATGACCTCACAAGGGTACCTCAGTTGTGGCTTTGTGCCCTTAGTTGTGTCTAGTCCTATACAATTTATAGTCTGATGAGAAGGCTCATGGTGGAAGGTTTTATTTGGGGGATTTCCATGGATGAGACCTAGCTGCTGGGTGTGCTCATCTCAGTGTCTGAAAAGGGCCAGCAGAAACTCCCAGAGGCCTCTGCTGGGAGGTAGCTGCTGGGTCCTTGAACCACCCTAGTCTTGCTTTCTCATCAGCTCACAGCCTTCTGTGGTCCTAGACTAGAGCTGGCCAATGTCAAGCAGGCAGCGTGGCAGGCCACAGGCCAGGACAGCGGTGTTTGGTACCTCCACTCATGTGCAGTGGGAGAGGCCGTAGGTTCCTAGTCCAGGCAAGGCCAGGGCCGTCTATGCCATCTCCAACAAAAACCCCATGCTCTGCCTTTCTTCTTGTGCCCTCCTGTCTCCTCAGCTTGGGCTTTGGCACCAGCGCCGATCCCTCATTCCCCTCTCTGTCTCCTGCTTCCGGTGCCTTGCGGTTCTCTCTCATCCTCTTCCCTTTGAGCAGGGGTCTCCACTGCTGTCCCACCCTGCCCGCTCCCAGGCCCCCCAGCTCTGCCTAGCCTCTTACCTCTCTGACCTGGCTCTGGTCCCAGAGTCCTGCCATCTCTGGTTCCACTGGCTCTTTTCTCACCTGAGTGATGAACTTCCGGGAGCTGGGACTGGGCCCCGCCCCCCTGGTTCTGCACATGTCAGGTCAGGCTTTGTACACGGCCCACAGGTGTAGACCTGGGCCATTCAAGAGAAAAGCATCCCGAGTCTCAAGCTCCAGTGTGATGGGCAGCCAGGGAGGGAGGCAGAAAAATGGGGTTAGAGAGGTTTGGGTTTTTGACCTGTGCCACTAAGTGAGGGAGCTGTGCCTACCTCAGATCCCTGGCATAGGCAGAGTGTGGTGGGTGGGTCTTGGCTGGGTTTCCCTTCCTTGGCTTTGGATGTTTCTGGGACTGATGTTACTAAGGTTGGGGTGGTTCTCTGCTGTGGTCCTTGTGTCAACATCCTCAATATCACTAGGGAACTGACTGGAAACAGAAATCATATGTGTGTGCATGCCCATTCACGCACACACACATACACACACAAACACACACATACATACACACACACATACACACACACATACACACACACACATACATACATACATACATACACACATACATACACACACACACACACACACACTCACACACACAAAACAAAAACTTTTCTTTCTCTCATTAGTGATTTAGCAAATTTTTTAGGGCATTCTGATAGAAGGTTAAGTTTGAGAATAGTTAACACACTCCTCTAATCCTGGCACTCAGAAGCTGATGCAGGAGGATTGTCATGAGTTCATAGCCAGCCTGTGACACCTAGTAAGTTTCAAGTCAGCCTGAGCCACATCACAAGACCCTGATCTTATCACTTGGGATTCCTCAAGGCAATCCTTTCTGTGGGAGCAGCTGTATGGGAAGAGGTAGATAGCCCTGAGCATGCCATGGGTTTTTATGAGGGACAGTCCACATTGAAAATCAGTGAACTTTGCAGCTGGCAAAACTCATCCCTGACAGCCTCTCCTGGCAGGGAGCTAACCACAGTAGGGGCTTTGCCTACTAAACCCATGGGACAAACTGATCTGACCTGGGTGGCACCAGGAAATACCTTTCCAGAGCCTTCTGCAGCATTAATAGACTGCAGGCAGTCTGAGGAAGTATGTGCTTCTTCAAGGTAACAACCACCACAGAAGCAAGCCTGCAGGTCCAGAGTCTCAGATTTCTGGAAGACAGTCATGATTGCCTCCTGGGGTGTCATGCCCACTGACATCTCACAGAGTCCTGTGATTCACCTACCACCCAGTACAAGGGTCTCAGACCTGCAGCTGGCCATCCAGGATCCCATGTCTGAAGTAATCACTGTAGAACAATCCCAGAATGGCCTGTCCTTGGCATCACAAACACAGGCAGCTGGAGGAAGTTACAATGGAAATCTGGTTCACTTTGCCTCTCTTCTAGTTATGGACCTTTTCCTTAGGAAAAACAAAACAAAACAAAACAAACAAACAAAAAAAAGAAACCAAACCAAAAATACCTGAGGTTCTCACAAGTTAAGTCCCTAGCTGTATTGTCTTAGCAACTTTTCCTGAGGAGATACAGCACATACATATGCCTACTCACCCCAGAAAAGGAATCCATTATTGATCCAAGTAACAATTGTACCCAAGTTCAGTTTGGTAAACTTGGGGTATCCTAACAGGAGTGTGGGTGAGAGGTGACTTACAGGAACAATGAAAGCCCACCCCAGCACCGGTGACGATTCATGAAGCTCTGCACAGCTTACAGGTAGGGAAGACTCTCCCCCTGGCAGCTGGCTGCCGAGCCTCCTCCTCAGCAGCTGTTTACTGCATCTGTAGCCCTGGGGAGGGCCCTGGTGAATCTTGAGGTTCAGCTTTCCCAGCCATGCACAGTTTGTTTACTTCCGGCATCTCTTGAGCCTCCCCTTCTCCTTCCTGGAGGGGAGAGTTCACTTCACAGGACTTTGGAGTCAACGAGGCAGGCTGGCGCAGCTCCAGAGCCTGAGCGCCACTGGTAAGAACAGCAGAATGGACATTTCTGGCATTAAGGTTTAGAATTCACTGGAGTCCTGAATGGGGGCTCACTGAACAGGTCTCAGACACTGGGCAGTTTGTTACTCTTGAGCCCCAGGCTATAAGGTACCTTCAAGTTCCTGAAGCACTCACCACTTGGGTGTGCCCTGGAAGAGACTCTCCCGGTTGTCATAAGCCTTGCTGATATCAACTGCAGCCTAGGTGTACAGTTTGGGGACAAACTCCCTCATTGCACGTAGGAAGCCTGTAGAGAGATGAGGTACATCTGTGGGTGGGGGACGCCCTGGGACAACTGTTTCCCAATGACCTTTCTCCCAATTACTAAGAACCAGAGGAAGCAATTCAGCTCTCTAGAGGACAGTCAGCCAGTTGACTGTAAAACGGCCTTTGGGGTAGTTTTGCTTCTGCCACAATGAAAAGTGTAGCTTCTAAGAACAATCAGTACCTTTTGAAGTTGGCGGTTTTTCTGGAAACGCTGATGTATAAACCTGTCAGTATGAGCAGATATACTAACCCCACCCATGGTGTCTGATCAGGTTTTCCCAACAAGCCTTGAAACTAAACCTTAGTGGTTCATGGTCTCCCCCTGGTGGCTGTGTGCCACACTGCATCCAGTTCTACTGTGTGGTACAGTGTGTGAAACACTCAGTGTTCCTCCCCCTCGTACACTCTGATCCTTCCCTAGAAAGCGTGGACTGCCCCCTCTCTGGGAACCCTGGAGTGAATAGTTGACCCTCTGAATATTTGTCCCCTGGGAGCTGCAAAGTGTCTATTAGACCGCCCTGGTCTCTGCAGCTTGGGGGCACTGCCTTCCCCAGATCGTTAATGGACTTGATAGTATAGAGTGGTGTAGGGTGGGGCAGAGCACCGTCTCAAGTCGACAATTAGCATCTTTCACATCAGGGAATATTTGAGCAAGTTCCGTGACTGTGCAGCAGCCTGACTTCTGAGCACATAGGGTATCCACTAGAGCCATGCCAATGCCAGGTGTCTCCCTCCTGCCCAGTCTTCGCACTGCTTGGCAGAAGGGGACAGAAAGAGGCTGGCTAAAGCAAGCCTTGCCCACCTAGTCTCCAGACAGGTACCCACTGAGCAGTAGGTCAGTCTTCCTATCACACATGGGGACATTTTGTCTAAAGGCTGCCTTATAGAACGGCAGTTTGAGGCTACTGAGGAGACACAGCAAGCTGGCAGATGCATACTGCCTCTCTGTCCATGTCCACTTACCCAGCTTCCCAATCCTGTTAAGGGTGACGGATGATGTTGGTGTCCTGCATTTTACAAATAAGGAAATTGAACAAATTGCTTGTCTGAAACATTTTCTTTTTGGTATGTGGTTTACATTCTGTTTCTGAGAAAATACATGCAAAAGAAGACAGCAAAGTGGTTAAGATCTCTCTCTCTCTCTTACACACACAGAGAGAGAGAGAGAGAGAGAGAGAGAGAGAGAGAGAGAGAGAGAGAGAGAGAGAGAGAGACCGGCAGTGCACCAAGCAAGCTCAGCCGCACCCCAGCTTTCCCCTTCTCTCCTGGACACTTCTATCCCGAGCGTGGTCAGCTGGCTCCAGCCTAGTACAAGGGAATGGGTGCTGGGCCTTGAGTTCTGATTTCTTTTTCTGCTCTCTGAGAACACAGCTGCCTCTCTGAGAAAGGAAATCCTTCCATCACCGACTCCCCCTCTTCACCCTCTTGCTTGGTAGATGCCCCCAGGAGCTGGTATTCTCTGGGCTGTGGGGATCCAGTGCTGGCCTGAATGTCCAAAGCCTTTGGACATCCAGGCTTAGCTAGAACAAGGTGGTTGAACAACTTCCCCCTGGGAACCCCTTCCTGTGGCAGAGGCTCAGGTGAAGATGTTAGGTACACTAAAGGACAAGTGGAGACTAGGCCGCCAGATCCGGGCATGTGGCAGCCTTCAGCCTGTGTGCTGCAGATTCCATTTTGGCCCTGAGCATGTCTCTGGCACCACAATGAGATTCAGGCACTGGAGCCAAGACAGCAGGTTCCCCAGGTGCCTAGGTGACAGTCCGTAGGAAATGCAGTGATAAATCTGCTGAGACCTCATGTATTTTGTTGGGCCTCAGGAAATATGCACCTCAAGGGGGATAGAGACCAGGCCCTTACTTGGAAGCCTTTTGGACAGTGGTTCTCAATCAGTGGGTCTCAACCCTTTTAAGGGTCAAAAAACCCTTTCATGGGGGTCGCCTAAAACCATCAGAAAACACGTTTATATTATGATTCATAACAGTAACACAATTACAATAGCAACAAAAACAATTTTATGTTTTGGGGTCACCACAACATGAGGAACATATTAAAGGGTCACAGCATTAGAAAGGTTGAAAACCACTGCTTTAGGGAGCGGAGACCCCCTCCCCTCCCTTGGCCCTTGATTTCACATGAGACTTTGGCGGACACCCAGAGTACAGCACACATTTCCTCATTAGAATGATCTGGGAGGTGGTCACTCCACTCACAGTCAGTCATTTTAACCATGATAAAACCAAGGAATAGAGACACCAAGTCACTCCTTCACGGTCACCAGCCAGCTGGTGACAAACGGATGGTACCAGTCAGGTTGCATTGTAGGAGCCAGACTGTCAGTACTCTTTAGACACTGGGTCTCACTAGGAATTGCCCAGTCCCTGCAGACCTGCCAGGAGGAGTCCACAGGAGAGGGAAGCTGGGGGAGGCCACAGGGACCCACCACATTCTTCATGAACTTTGGCTGGGAGGGGTTAGAGTTCATGGATCACTGGGAGGTGCAGGTAGAGTGTACTGAGGAGGCTGCTGGGGCGAGAGCCGGAGACGGAAGCTGAAGCCTGGTGAGACTTTCTAGAAGTCCAACTTTTCAGGTTGGAGGTCTGCTGCCTATGCCCCGATTTTCTTCCCAGGGCATACTCGGGTACCCTGGCCTCACAGAGCCTCCCCATGTCCTTGTCCATCTGCTTGTGTACACCCCCATGGCCAAAAGAGCTGGTCCCATTGGGCAGGTCTCTTCTATCTGTGTGTTGTTCCTGGGACTTCCCGAAGAGCCAGTCCAGAGGGTTGTCAGTGCCAGGAGAGGGCAGTGTGGGCTGGCTGCTGAAGCAAGGAGAGCAGTCTCCTAGAGACTCAGCCTGGCGCCTCTTCTCTCTGGTCCACGCTGGACGGTAGGGTCTGTGGGGTCGGCTCTGGACTATGACCTTGTCCAGCACTGAGGTCGGCTGTGCCAGCTGACAGATAGACCTAACATAGTCATCCAGGCTGGGAGAGGTTGGGGGCTCCTGCCCAGGTGCCCCATGTGGTAACTCCTCTGAAGTTTCCCGAATCGTTGGCAAGTGGGGCACGGGCAGCCGAAGCCGGGACCTCATTGCTGCAAACAAAGCAAAACCAAGCTGTTGGCCAAGAGAAAATAGTGGCCTACCATGCCATCCTGACACCCTCCTACCTCCTTCCCGTCACTGTAGAAGTTACACAGGACTCGGGTACCCAGAAAGCAATAAGAAACCTGTGGATCTGAGACCAGGGCTCATCCCCCAGCTCTTCCTTTCTGATATCAAAGCCCACATGCTAAGACTTCATTGCTAGTGTAGTGTAGATAATCGGGGCTGGAGAGATGGCTCTGCAATTAAGAGTACTTATTCTTGCAAAGGACCCGAGTTCAATTCTTAGCACACACATACATGGTGGCTCAAACCATCTATAAATACAGTTCCTGGGGATCCAACAGGCGTGTATGTAGTACACATACATTCGTGTAGGCAAAACATTCATGCATATAAAGTAAAATTAGTTAAAAAATTTAAAACAAAGAATGAACAAATAAGAGAACTGAGGGTACTATTTGGGGTCTGAGGACACCCAGATTTTAAACCCATCTCAGTCACTTAATGAGCTGCACACCTTTGACAATGTCACCTCTACTTGCCCATCTGAAAAACAGGGTTATTAACAGCCCACTGGCAGGGATATTATGGGAAATGCATGAAATCATAGCTTTGACATCACAGCTCTTGAGTTCCTTGTAAGCACGAAAGCCTTGGGCAAACACCATATTATCTTAGCCATCAGTGGCACCCACCACCCTGGTCTCTATCCAGTAGCCAGGCATGCTGCAAGAGCTCAGGGTGAGAAATGCCCTCAGATACAAACTAGCGTCAAACCAGAGGACAGTCGCTCCTCTTACCTGTGGGTCAGCAGACAGGGCGGCGGGGAGTCTTGATGAGTAAAGGTTGTCTAATCCAAAGGAAGCACCCAGAGGTGCGCAGTCACAGCCACGTCGCCAGCTCCCGAACAATCAGGGCGATGTGCCGTGGATTCTCCTCCTGTGCTGTCTGGCAAACCCGGACCCCCACTGCTGCTTTTAAATGTTTCCTCCAGTCGTCAATCACTGTCAGGAAAGCTCAAAATAGCAGCGCTTAGGAAGGTTCTCAGAGGAAAACAGGGTGGAGGGCGGGGCTTGGCCCAGCTGCCAGCCTGGCATTTGTGTGTGTGTGTGTGCCTGTGGGAAGCTGGGAAATGTTTACACTGCAGGGTGAGGGGTGGGGCAGCCGCCTGGCCTTGGCTTAGAGACAGTTTCACTATAGGTAGAGACCAAAGCCAGATTAGAGGGTGCTGGGAGAGCCTGGAGGCACCACAGGACCCTCACAGGGAGCCCAGAGGTCTGCCAGCCCTGTCTGGTGCAGCACAGTATTTTTTACTGTGTGTTACACCAGCTCCTATGATCCTGTGACATGCTGGCCTTCTTCTAATTTTTGCTGAGTGCTGGGGCCAGCACTTGTGACCTGGATGACACATAAGCCTTGCAGGGCTCTAGCCTGGAGTCTTCCTGGGCCTGCTGCAAAGTGTGGGACACCCCCTTACACAAGCACTAGGGCAGCCCGGGGATCTGGCCTGTTCTAGAAACATCTTAGATGGGACGCTTTCAAGGGAAAATTTGCTTACGCATTGTTTACCAGATGTGTGGTGGTACTACTGTGTGCCAGTGACTGCTCAAGGCATAGCAAATGATGTGGACAGATCTGGATCCGTGGAGCTTGTTTCCCAGGCAGAGAGATAAACAAGTCACTGATGGGCAGGTGCAGGGACCCGGCACTCACCATGGCTGCAAAAAAAGTACAGTAGGGTTATGGGGCAGGACCAAAAGCTGTTGTTGTAGGTGGGGTTGTCAGAAATATCTTCTCTAAGGGGTGACATTGGTGCAGAGATCTGAAAACCATGGGGCAGTACATGCAAAGGCCCTGGGATAATAATGTGCTCAGCATACTCTGGGGACAACGGGAGCCTGCATGCATGGTCCAGGTGAGCCGGTCAGAAGATACCAAGGCAATGGCAGGGCAATGCGGGTTCAAATAAAGGGCTGCAGTGTGGCTTCTGCCAACTGTCATGCTCAGGCTAATGACGGTGGCTGTGGGGAACTAAGGGACTCCAGGGGTGCCACCAACACAGCAGCCACTGAAGGCAAGGTGGACATCCCTGGGAAAGTTCAGTAAGAAGCGGACTGTGCATTTCTCAGGCCTCAGCACCTCTGCTCACCTGGAACACATCTGTCTTCTGCCCTCAGGAGCGGCAAGAAGGGGAGCCACAGAGGGGACAGGTACTGATCAGGTCTGATATGTGAGGGCTGGACGGACCCTAGACTCCGGCAGCAAGGGGAGCTGCTGGTCCCTTGTCCATGTATCCTAGGTGTGGCATTAATGCCACAGGTAAAGGCGTGGGACACTGGAGCTACTGAACAACGCTTAAGTCAGGTGGCAGTTCCCAGCTCACACCTGAAGGACTCCATAGGACTTGTGTCTGTTTCTCTGGCTCTCAGAGAAATTTCTTAGCAGCTGGCTGATGAGTTGAGAGGCTGGACTAAAGAGGAAAGTGCTTACTGTCCAGAAGGCTTGCCTGATGTGTGAGCTAAGGCTCTCTTGGTTGGCCACACCACAGGAGCAGCAGACCCTGCCTGTGTGCTGGATCCTGGCAGCTCTGGCCCGGCCTCAACTTTCTTTTCATTTCATTAGAGACCCTTGTCAGCAGCTGGCTGATTGCACTCTTCCCCCCTGGCCTCTCCACGGTGTCTTCTTGTCTCAGGCAGCTCCTAGCTTTCACAGTCCTCAGGCTGCCATATTGCCTCTTCCATTTGCTGAGGAGGCTAGACTGGCTGTTAGGGCACCTTTTCACTCTATCTCACCCCATTCACTACCATCCAGGGCCCAATGCATTTTCCAGGGACCCCCTCCACCCCCCTTAGTGCTCCTCCTACATTCACTGTAAGCCACTCATATTGAAGCCATGGCTTCTTCATCTCTCTCATCTCTGAGCCTTGGGTGGGACTAAGGGTGATGAGTGTCCATGAAAGAGCTGTGTGCTGAGAATTTCCAAGTATGCTGGGGGCTTTTCTTACTCCCCCTAGAGACACTTTAAACTGTAGATCGATGCCAGCCTTTTATTTATGGGAGTTGAATTTCACATCTGAGCCTGCTTTTGATCATTACTTTTTTTGCCTGATTTTTAAGGCTTATTTATTTATTTATTTATTTATTTATTTATTTATTTATTTATTTTATTCTATGTGTGTGAGTGATTTTCCCTGCATGTGTACCATGTGCATGCAGTGCCCACAGAGGTCAGAGGAGGGAATTGAATCCCCTGGAACTGGAATTACAGATATTTGCAAACCAACACCCAGGTGCTGGGAATCAAACCTGGGTTCGCTTCAAGCACATGAAGTGTTCTTAACTGCTGAGCCATCTCTCCAGCCCTTTGCCTGTCTGTTAAGGCAAACACTGCATATCAGAAAGCTGTGTGTGTTTTTGATAGCCTTAGACTGTTCTTTCTGTGGGCAGTGAGGTGTTTGAAACTGGACGTGACTGCTAAGGGACCCTGAGACCCACACTGACGGTACAGCTGATGCACGGATGAGTTTTCATGGTGTGGCTGTCCTCACGGGGACTTTCCATGACAATGAAGAGAGAAGCAGAATGTGGGGGAGGGGAACTGCATGCTTTCACTTAAGTGTTGTGTGGAATCCAAAATCAATCAAGCTCACAGAAGCAGAAAGAAGGATGGCTGTCAAGAACGGTGAAGGTAGGGAAGTGGGGATTTTTGTAGATGAGTGAAAGCTTGCAGTTCAAGCTGCAGCAGTCTGAGAGGTCCACAGGGCAGTGCCGTGCCCATTGCAACCAACTCTGCACTGTGCGTGTAAGCATTCATTAGGTGTGTGAGTCTTCAGCCCTCACTTAGTGGGCCAATCACGCCCTTCACCACTGTGCCTGAGAAATCACTCTTTGATGGACTCTCTGTAGCAGAGGGGAAAACTAATCCCAGGCCTTGCTTAGGACTCAGGTTCCATGGGTCAGGAAGCCCGACTGCACCCTGAACCCTTAATCAGGACCCACACCATCACCATCATCCTTTGTGTTCACAAGCATCTTCAGAGTGCATGTGTGCCATCATGAATCATAGTTACCAGGCATCCCTGTTGACTTTGAAATCCAAGATGGGAACCATGTTGCAAATAGATACGGAAAGAGGTTAATTATGGTTTAAGTCGTAACTAGATCCAGAACACCACTGAATAAATACCCAAAAGAAAGGAGAGAATAAGAGAAAAGAGGTAGAGGGAGAATAGGGGCGTGGGGGACTCTTATGTTAAATGTTCTTAGCAGGAAACATAAAAGTAAAGAAATAAAATACTGGGTGAGACGGCTTTGAGAGAGAGGTTGAAGCCTCTGTAGAGGTGCTGGAGATTTCTGGTAGGTCACTGGCAGTTCAGTTTCTCATGGAGTGAGCTTGTACAGAGAGCCTGGAATAGTCCCATGAAGGCAGAGGCAGGATATATGTCAGAGACAATCAACCAGGGACATAAGGGGTTTGAGCCAGAGTCAGGTGGGGTGCCTGTGGAGGGGAATACTGTGAATGAGGGTTGGGGAGCAGTCATTTCATTTGCAGACCTAAGGAAATCAAAGCAGGCCTGGGTCTGTCTCAGTATAAAAACTGTTGCAGAAATACTGGCCATGGGAATGTCCCAGAAGTGTTAAGCAAACCAACACCCACCACCAGCAAAAAAAAGGTAGGGTGGCTGGAGGTGAGCTCAGTCCAGGACAGTTGGTGCTGCCGCTGTCTGGATGTGTGGAGAGAAGGACAAGGCAAGGCC